GTATCCACCCAGCAGGTGGTATCCGTCGGTGCGTCCCTGATCCCGTTCCTGGAACACGATGACGCCAACCGTGCATTGATGGGTGCGAACATGCAACGTCAGGCCGTTCCGACTCTGCGCGCTGATAAGCCGCTGGTTGGTACTGGTATGGAACGTGCTGTTGCCGTTGACTCCGGTGTAACTGCGGTAGCTAAACGTGGTGGTGTCGTTCAGTACGTGGATGCTTCCCGTATCGTTATCAAAGTTAACGAAGACGAGATGTATCCGGGTGAAGCAGGTATCGACATCTACAACCTGACCAAATACACCCGTTCTAACCAGAACACCTGTATCAACCAGATGCCGTGTGTGTCTCTGGGTGAACCGGTTGAACGTGGCGACGTGCTGGCAGACGGTCCGTCCACCGACCTCGGTGAACTGGCGCTTGGTCAGAACATGCGCGTAGCGTTCATGCCGTGGAATGGTTACAACTTCGAAGACTCCATCCTCGTATCCGAGCGTGTTGTTCAGGAAGACCGTTTCACCACCATCCACATTCAGGAACTGGCGTGTGTGTCCCGTGACACCAAGCTGGGTCCGGAAGAGATCACCGCTGACATCCCGAACGTGGGTGAAGCTGCGCTCTCCAAACTGGATGAATCCGGTATCGTTTACATTGGTGCGGAAGTGACCGGTGGCGACATTCTGGTTGGTAAGGTAACGCCGAAAGGTGAAACTCAGCTGACCCCAGAAGAAAAACTGCTGCGTGCGATCTTCGGTGAGAAAGCCTCTGACGTTAAAGACTCTTCTCTGCGCGTACCAAACGGTGTATCCGGTACGGTTATCGACGTTCAGGTCTTTACTCGCGATGGCGTAGAAAAAGACAAACGTGCGCTGGAAATCGAAGAAATGCAGCTCAAACAGGCGAAGAAAGACCTGTCTGAAGAACTGCAGATCCTCGAAGCGGGTCTGTTCAGCCGTATCCGTGCTGTGCTGGTAGCCGGTGGCGTTGAAGCTGAGAAGCTCGACAAACTGCCGCGCGATCGCTGGCTGGAGCTGGGCCTGACAGACGAAGAGAAACAAAATCAGCTGGAACAGCTGGCTGAGCAGTATGACGAACTGAAACACGAGTTCGAGAAGAAACTCGAAGCGAAACGCCGCAAAATCACCCAGGGCGACGATCTGGCACCGGGCGTGCTGAAGATTGTTAAGGTATATCTGGCGGTTAAACGCCGTATCCAGCCTGGTGACAAGATGGCAGGTCGTCACGGTAACAAGGGTGTAATTTCTAAGATCAACCCGATCGAAGATATGCCTTACGATGAAAACGGTACGCCGGTAGACATCGTACTGAACCCGCTGGGCGTACCGTCTCGTATGAACATCGGTCAGATCCTCGAAACCCACCTGGGTATGGCTGCGAAAGGTATCGGCGACAAGATCAACGCCATGCTGAAACAGCAGCAAGAAGTCGCGAAACTGCGCGAATTCATCCAGCGTGCGTACGATCTGGGCGCTGACGTTCGTCAGAAAGTTGACCTGAGTACCTTCAGCGATGAAGAAGTTATGCGTCTGGCTGAAAACCTGCGCAAAGGTATGGTGAACAGTTCGAGCGTCCGGTAACCGTTGGTTACATGTACATGCTGAAACTGAACCACCTGGTCGACGACAAGATGCACGCGCGTTCCACCGGTTCTTACAGCCTGGTTACTCAGCAGCCGCTGGGTGGTAAGGCGCAGTTCGGCGGCCAGCGCTTCGGCGAAATGGAAGTCTGGGCTCTCGAAGCTTACGGCGCTGCGTACACGCTGCAGGAAATGCTCACCGTTAAGTCTGATGACGT